CGTCGCGGCGGCGGGCGCGAGGCGTGGCTGCTCGGCGAGCCACAGGAGCGTGTTGGCGGGGCCGACGTAGCGCGCCATGTCTAGCGGCGCCGCAGCGACCGCCTGCGCGAGCTCCGACACCACCTCCGGGGAGACGTGCGCGCCACGCGAGGCGGCTAGGCGGTTGAGTTCATTGAAGTCAGACGCCACGCCGCACACGGCCACACCGCCGGCGTCCGGGATGGCGCCGGTGGGTTGCCGATCAGAGGCGGCGCGTCCAGACTCATGACTGTGCCCGCAGCTCCTAATCCTAGCTACGGCTGCTTCATTGTGTTTATATGAGGTCGCTGAAGCGCCAATCCTGGTAAAGCAGAATAAGAAGATTTCGCCCTTCAAGCAAGCTTTAGACTGATTTCCTAATACTCCGAGATACCAGAGCCCGCCTGTGGAGTGAAACACGAAATGCGAGTGAACATAACATGACATGGTGCAACCACGTGTGCAGCAGCATGAGAGATGTGTGTGCTCGGTGACAGCGTCGGCGCCTTCACCGTACTGTGCAGCGTGTACCGTATGTCCGGGATGCAAGCCTACTTCATGCATAGCTCCGCCAAGCGGCTAGAATTGAGGGAGAGACATATGGGCTGGGCCCCATGCCATCCAAGTACTACCCCATTCGCGCGTCCCCTCCCACCGCTGGAGGACGCCCCTTTGACTCTCATCTTTCCCCACATGTGTCAGGATGGTACACATCGTTGCAGCAGATGATCTCACAAAGATATTCCTTTTCAGCGCTGGGCCGCGCAGCTGCGCCACCGCTGCTGGGGCCAAGCCCATGGGAGACATACGTCATGCCTGTCAGACCAACGGAGTGAGTACGATTGGCCGACCCCTGACCGCTGAAACCGCAGCACATACAGGGCCCATAAGTGGCCGCTGCAGCAGTCGGTCCGGCAGTGGACAGGAACTCCCACCTGGGCGGTGAGGAAGCGGTGTCTGCCAGGGGGCGGGGGTGCGGGGCTGGCGGGTGCAGCAGCGCGGCGGCCACGCAGGTGCGGCGAGGCGCGCGCCGCGGAGGTGTGCGGGTGGCGGGCAAAGCGCACACTCAGGCCCCAGCCACATTCGCCCATGCTCGTGCAAGCCCGTGCGCCCGTCTTCACCCTGGTCGCCAAGTCTCTGCGGCAGTCACGCCCGCATCGCCCGGGCCGCCAAACATCTGCATGCAAACTGCCACAGCCCAGCCATGATCATGCATACAATAAGCAGTTACAGGTCGTATTATACATTGCATATGTCAATGCAGTACATTTGTTGATGATCAAATAGGCTTCAAGACCTCCATCAAGACTCAAAGTCGGTGCAGTCCGACTGAGTCAGTGGTCCCCAAAAGCCTGCCACCAGGCTGCCCGCAGATGCACGGGGCCATTGCTGGTTGTTTTGGCAACATAATGTTATATTGATGAAGTATGCTTTCATCACAGCTTGCACAAAAATGTGTATGCACATGGATGCTGCCAGGCAGGAAAGCTTGCAATCATGCATATGGGTGCGCTCAGACGCCTTCGTTCGTTGTTGGGGCCACCACCACTGCAGCGGCAGGCAGCCTCAGCGAAGGGACCCAACACCTGGCCCGCCACAGGCGTCCTGCTGCCGCAAGCACGCAAGCTGACGCTGTCGGCACGGCCCGCGCCTTCTGCGCCTCCTCCCAACCTGCCCTGCTGACGCCACAAGCAGCGTCTGCAGCGGTGCAGCCGCTGGTGTCGGCCGCTGGCTTGAGGGGCGAACCCGGGCCTGCTTTCGCGTCGCCGATGCACCTTGCCGCAAACACACACATACCCCACGGACAGCCGATATTCGCAACTGTAGCAGCCCCCCATGCACCCGAACAGTTTTTGGCTGGGGCACTCAACACCTGCACAGGTCTGTTTTTGGCGGGATCCACAAGCCGGCAGTCTCGTCATGATTGCAGTGCGGCAGTAGGAACGCCGCCGCCGCCGCTGCTGCTGCTCGCGCTCCCGCCGCCCCCGCTGGCCGTCGCGCCCCTGCCGCCTGTGCACTCTTTGTTGTGGCCGGCCTTCCAGTGAGCCTTAGCGCACTGAGGGCCGCAGTACCTGTGTTGGTGAGCACGCATATCCATGCAGGCACACGCGTGTGTGTAAGTGTGGATGTACATGTGGATTTGCATTTGATGCGTATGCATGTGTGCACTCGGGTGGGCATTCTAACCCTGCCTTAGCATGTGCATGCAGTTCAGTGCGTGCAGTGCGTGCAGCACGCACGTGCTGCGGACCCCCATCCCGCCTTGCTACGCCCGTCTCGCCCAGTAATGTGCGCCTCGGCGCACGCCGCCTGGCAGCTAAGAGGTGATACGATCTAGCAGGGCGGTTTCAGCCCTGCCCTGCAACAGCGATGGCAGGCGCATCCAGCAAAATGGTTTGAGGTGGTGGGGTTGGGGAGGTGGGGCTGGGCAGACGAGAAGGGCAGAGGCTGCCCTGCGCTCAGCTCGGTATCCCGCAGGCGCCGCACTTTTCAAAGTTGAAACCGCCCTGCGTCTGGCTGATGCTGCAGGGTGTTCACAACACCATCTCTTTCTGTCGCCCCGGCGCTGGCGCCAGCGCCGCCGCCCAGGCCGCTCGCGACGCCGCCGCGCAGCCGCCCGGCCTGCAGCGCCTCGAGTGCCGCTGCCGCGTGTGCGGACGGTATCGCGGCGTCACTGCCATCCCAGTCATCGCTGTCAAATTCGACGATGGCTTTCAGGGCCAGAGCCACCCTGTCGCGCGCGACGGCCGCGTTTGGCGCGCGGAAGTGCATGCAGCAGGCCGCATCCACGCACCTTACATCCGTGCATGGCACGCAGCCCCGCTCCGGCGGCTGGCTCGGGTCGTCGCCACTGAGCACGTGCAGCACCTGCAGGGCCTCGCCCGACATCGAGCCGGCGGGGCCGGGGTCACCCGCGCCGTCCATGGCCGACGCGGCCAGCCAGGTGAGCGCGCCGGGCGTGGCGGCCAGGTCGTATTGTGCGGCGGTCGAGCTCAGCGCCACGGCCCGCGCCCGGGCCAGCCCCTCTGGGCCGGCCGCCGCGAGGCCGCCCCACACGAGGGCCCGCAGCTCATCATCTGGCGGCAGTGCCGCCGCGGCCGCGTCCCTGGCTGCGGCCGGTGCGGCGGCGGCAACGTTGAATGGATCCTTGAGCGCATAGGCGATGGCGGCGAGCGTGTCGGCGACCTGGGCGCTCAGGGATGAGGGGTCGATGGACCGAAGTTCGCCTCTGGGGTCGCCACTGTCGCCGCGGCCCGGCGCCGCAAACACGGCGGGCCCGCCGCCCGCGGCGTCGACCAGCAGCGCGCGCAGCGCGCCGTGCCGCGGCGCCGCGAGCTCGAGGGCCCACAGGCCTGAGCTGTCGGCGGCGGCGCAGAGCCTCACCAGCGCCGCCGTCATGTACATCAGATGTGCGCGGTGGCTATCGCGCTCCTGGCCCTCTGCGCCCCACGCAGCGCACAACGCGGCGGCGACGGCCGCCGCAAAGCCCGGTGCCGACAAGGCCCGCGGCGGCCCCGCGGCGGAGGACGCGGCCCCATGGCACACGACTTCGAGCAGCACGGTGACGGCGAGGGCGGGGCACGTGGACTTGTGGCCGGCCTCCAGCAAAGCAGGCGCCCCCGCCAGCACCGCCAGCAACGGCGCCTCCAGCGCCCCCGCCGGCCCCGCGGCCGCCAGCGTTGCGTCGGGGTCTGCGGCGGCCGCGCCCTGCAGCAGCTTCAGGCAGCAGCTGACAGTGTCCTCGTCCCCACCGTCCCAGCTGCTGCACCCGCCGCCGCCGGGCCCGACGCGGTCAGTCAGGGCTGAGAGGATCTGGCGCAGCGCGGGCGCGTGCGACGCCAGGTCCTTGCACAGCAGGCCGCGCGCCTCAAGGTTGAGCGAGATCTGGGTCGCGGCGACGAGCGCGGCGGTCTCAAGTCCCTCTGGGTCCCGCAACCCCGCGCCCGTGGCGGCCGCGAGCCGCGCGGCAAAGGCGGACCAGAGGAGGTGACCCGCGCGCTCCTGCAAGACTGTCGCGGCGGTTGCCGCGGCAAGCTCGGTCGCGCGGGCGCGGTCGGCGTGTGCCAGGAAGAGAGCTATCATGCCAAGGGGCTCGAAACGGAAGGGCTTGTCGATCAGCGCGGCGCGCAGCAGGCCGGACAGCGCCTCTGGTACCTTGGGTCGTGCGGGCGGACGGGCGGGTTGGGAGTCAGGTGAGGGGCTGGGCCTCCGATGAGCGGTGGACGCGGTGTTTGTCTGTTCGAATCGACAGACGGCCGTCGCTGAGGCAGGCTGCGATGGGACGCGGCTCGCTCGCGGCGCCGCGCACCTGAAGCACCACAACAAAGAGTTCGGGGTCTGGCAGCTTGCGTCCCATCAGCGCGCCGCCCAGCAAAGCCGCGTGCTTGGCGAGCGTCACGTGGGGCCCGTGGGGGTGGCAGCGGGGGCACACGGCGGCGGGCGCGTCCGTGCAGGTCTCCCAGGGCGGCGCGGCGGCCGCGGCGCGCCCCGCCGCGGCGACGGCCTCGGCGAGTGCGCGGATGGTGGCGGGGGTTGCGGCGGCGGACGCGAGACGGGGCTGCACAGAGAGCCACGCCAGCGCGTTGGACGAGCCGGCACGGCGCGCAGTGTTGGCTCCGAGCGGCGCAGCGGCGAGCGCCTGTGCGAGCTCCAACACCACCTCCGGGGAGACGTGAGCGCCGGGCGAGGCGGCGAGGCGGTCGAGCTCCTCGAGCTGGAGCTCCTCGAACTGGGGCGGCAGGCCGTCCAGACCGCTGTTGTGCGCGTCGGCCTCAGCGTCGGTGGTTTGCAGCCCAGAAGCGGCGCGGCGGAGCGCCGTGTCCAGGCTCATGGCTGTGTCCGCCGCTCCTGACCCTAGCTGCGGCTATATTATGGCTTCAAGGATACTCCCTGGGGCGCGCCGACTAGGGTATCGCGATTTCGCCAAGATCCCGTGAATGAGTGGAAGACCTCGCAACACCGAGGACGCTTGCTCTCTAGCTACGAGATGTAAAACGGCGTGGTATATCTCAGTGACGCAGAGTCACCCGGCTGCTACCGCTGTCCCTTATACTGCGTGAGTATCCGGGACTCTCGCCGAACCCACGTGCCATGCACTCTTCAGCTGAGAGGCTGCTATGTGTACACACATGAGTGTGATACCCGTACAACTAGTACCACATTTGAAAACGCACGCGTACCCCACCACCGCCGCCCAGCCGGCTGCTTTGACTCTCACTTTGACCCCCCCCCCCCACCGGGGGAGGTGTTGTGGCCTCTGGGCGCACAACACCTCCCCCTTGTGGCCACTGGGCGCGACTGACACCTGTCAGTCGCGCCCAGTGGCTACAGTGGATACCGTATCCAAACATGTGCC